TTGTGAGGTCATCTCTGTTTAGAAAATCTTTTTTGCTCTATTTTATAGTAAAACATTATTATAAAATGTTAATAAAGAAGCTTGTCTGAATTATATTTATTATGCATATTTGCATCTGAGACCTTTTGAATCATTTAATGGTTCAAACTTTGCTCAAAACCCTGTTGAACACATTCAGTTATTCCAGAAAAAAGCGAGCAGAAGATAACAAAACAATTATTTTGACTTATCGCAAGACAATTAGTGATGAATATTAAAGAATCATGTCTTTATTTTTTGTTAAAGGGCCAAAGAAACACTTTAAATAAATGAAAAAACTATTTTTTTCCGGGGTCAGGCCTTAAACGCTTCAATTGATTCCTAAATGAAGCTGAGAACAAACATTCTCACTTCCTTTAAAAGAGGCGGGACTTCCTTTTTAAATGAGAACCAAGATGGCCGCCATCTGTGGCTTTCCTCCCAGTTGGACCACAAACAAACAACCTGGAAAAATTAAGCTGTTCCTAATAGGGTTGTCAAAAGTATAGATACTCAATAAAGAATCAATAATAAAACGTTGTATCTGGATACGATACTCATTTTCAAAAGTATTGATACCCCCCCCTTGTTTATGGTTATTAACGTGATGTTAGCCTTGAATTGCTAGCTGCGGCTAATGGCTAATAATAACACGCCAACATTAATCAAGTCTGCAGGAAGCCAAGGATGGATATCCAACCCCCCCACATCCAAGTCGGCCATTTTGATTAGGTCACCAATAGGAAGATTCCAGGCAAGAAAATCCTAATTGCTTCATGGCAATATAGACATTCATTTAAAAATAGTGAAATGAATCTTGCAAACACTGAATTAAACTCTATCCATAATATTATGTTAAAATAGTGGATGTTAAATAGGTTTGGACAATAAGTCCAAACAAGTTTAACCAAAACATATTTATTTCTCACAATTATGAAGGGTTAGGGTTAGGATTAGGTTTAGGGTTGGGGTCATTCAAACCAAAGACACTAACCTGTCAAAATTCAGTTAAATTTTTGGGTCTTTATCCTTGTGGTATCCAAAATGGTATTGAATATTTTCCTGAGTATCGGTATCCATTTGAACATTTTAGTATTGTGACAACCCTAGTTCGTAATATCCACCAAAGACAAACAGGAAGCAGAGAGGAGCAAAAAAAAAAAAAAAAGACACGGAAGGATTTCTCTTTTCTGGGATTAAGTTATTCTAGTCGGCCGAATGGATCCGCTACCGGCTCGGAAATGAAACACAGATTTAAGAAAAAGAAACAGAGCTGTTTCTCTGTGATCGGTGGACTGACCCCAAAGAGAATCCGACTCCATGAAGAGTCGAGTAAAGCTTCAGGGTAAGAGCCGACGGCTCATTTAACACCAGTTCGAGCACAGAACTCTGCAGGAAAGACGACTAAATTACCAGACTCACTATTTCTGCAACAGAATGTTAGAATCTGGCTATAATTACTCACTTTAGCATTGTATGCTAGCACATGATCTATGTAAATTACTGATTGTTTTATTTTCTTTTGAAAATTTTCTGTTAAAACTGAAGAAAAGCTTTTATCCTCGTTAGAATTTGGTTATAATTACTTACTTTAGCATAGTGTATAGCATTAGCTATAGCATGATTTATGTCAATTACTGATTGTTTTATTTTATTTTAGAACTATATTTTGTGTTTAAGTCTCTGGCTGTGTCCACAGACTCTTTTTTCTCTCTTTTTCTTTAAAAAAAGGTCAACAAACACACACCATTTGTTATCTAATTTGTTATCTCTTTATCTAATCTGATGAAATACCCCAAAATATTCAGCATCTTGATGCTTAGAACTCAGTTATTGTGTCTTTGCTCTGTTAAAACTGGAAGAAAAGCCTTTATCCTTTATAATTATAATTACTCACTTTAGCATAGTGTATATTATTAGTTATAGCATAGCATTAGCTATAGCATGATCTATGTAAATTACTGATTGTTTTATTCCTTTTATAACTATATTTTGTGTTAAAGTCTCTGGCTGTGTCCACAGACTCTCTTTCCTCTGTTTTCTTTTCCCTCTTTCTTTCTCTGTTGCATTAGATCCACCTTTAGGTCAACACACACACACACACACACACACCATTTGCTATAAAATTTGTTATCTCTAATAATATATCCCACAATATTCTGCATCTTGATGCTTAGAACTCAGTTATTGTGTCTTTGCTCTGTTAAAACTGGAAGAAAAGCCTTTATCCTTTATAGTTATAATTACTCACTTTAGCATAGTGTATAGCATTAGCTATAGCATGATCTATGTAAATTACTGATTGTTTTATTTTCTTTTAAAACTACATTTTGTGTTAAAGTCTCTGGCTGTGTCCACAGACTCTCTTTTCTTTCTTTTTCTCTCTCTGTTGTATCAAATCCACCTTTAGGTCAACACAAACACACACTTTTTGCTAGAAATTTTGTTATCTCTTTATCTAATTTAATGAGATATCCCACAATATTCTGCATTTTGATGGTTAGAACTCAGTTATTGTGTCTTTGCCCTGTTAAAACTGGAAGAAAAGCCTTTATCCTTGTTAAAATTTGGCTATAATTACTCACTTTAGCATAGTGTATAGCATTAGCTTTAGTATAGCATTAGCTATAGCATGTCCTATTTAAATTACTGATTGTTTTATTTTCTTTTATAACTATATTTTTGTGTTAAAGTCTATGGCTGTGTCCACAGACTCTCTTTTCTCTCTTTTTCTCTCTCTGTTGCATTAGATCCACCTTTATGTATATTTTAGGTATATTTTAAAAAAAAAGCTTAAGACCTACTTTTTTAAATTAGCATTTAATTCGGACTAGGGTCTCTTAGGTTTCCTCCTTCTGTCTGCTCCTCTCTACGCACTTCTGGAAGGCTTTTAATGCCCTGAAGCGCTGCACCACTACAGCATTTTTAGTTGTTTCTGTATGTTTTGTATGTTTTTTGTATTGTTTTATGGCTTTGTTGTGAAGCACTTTGAGTACCATTTGGGTATTGTAAAGGGCTATACAAATAAACTATATTGATTGATTGATAATATTCTGCATTTTGATGCTTAGAACTCAGTTATTGTGTCTTTGCTCTGTTAAAACTGGAAGAAAAGCCTTTATCTTTGTTAGAATTTGGTTATAATTACTCACTTTATCATATTGGATAGCATTAGCTATAGCATGATCTAACTGGCCAATAGGACTTGGTTGAGTCCAGATAATGAGATAATGCCCATCACACCCAGATCTCAGGGCTCTTTGCCCACTGAGACCCAGAGAGAGGTTTTAGTCTGTTAGATTCCAATAAATGTTATTTTTGTACTTTTTGTACAAGAATAAAAGCAAACCCTAGTAATTCCAACTTAAAAAAAAGGGTTAATTAAGCATCCTGGCTTTTTATTACTCCCCTACATGCTTATCGCGGGGCTCAATAGAGCTCATTGGCCTCTTTCTCCCGCATCCAAACTGGATTAATTATCATAAAACAACAGGGCATCAATAAGCAGCGACGTTATCACCGGCATCTCAGGCCCCGGAACACCTGGAGCCCCTTCATCACCGCTTGGTGAATGCAGAGGCTTCTCATTAGCGGAAAACCGTGTCCTCACAGATGTTTAGTCCCACGTGCACGGTGCGCGCGTGCACGTGGGGCGATCCGTCCACATTCGGGGCGTTAACATCCATCACTTGGAGGTAAACGCAAACGCGGCATCTGCTTTTGGACGGGGCGTCAAACGGGGCGAGATTTAGGACTTTGGCTCAGCTAGCCGCCATTTTGTAATCGTTTCCCAGCTGGAAAAGCAGGAATCGTCATTATTTCTAAATAAAGAAGCAGCTCTGAAAGCTGGAACTATCCATAAATGCAAAGTATTACCGTAAACAGGTCAAATAAAACCGTCTGATACGTTACGGTAAATCAAACCTTAGCACATCAGAATATATAGCAGCTAGCATGAAGCTAACGAGCTTTTCTCGTAAAAACTAAACAACGCCGTCGGTATAGAATTATTTGAACAAGCTGTTGTCGTAATTAGGATCAGCTTAATTTTTATCCCATAATGAAGGGAAACTTTTCCCTGATTCAGTAAACAGGGCAAATAAAACCGTCTGATACATTACGGTAAATCAAACGTTAGCTCATCGCAACATATAGCAGCTAGCATAAAGCTAAGGAGCTTTTCTCTTAAAAAAACAAAAAAACAAACAAACAGGCCACTACAGAAATATTTTAACTGCCTGTTATCATAGTTAGGATCAGATTCAACATCTATTTCAAATGTCCACAATTTTTAAACAGCCACTTTCCGATTTTGGCTAAGTTAGCCGCCATTTTCTGATAATTTCCCAGCTGAAAAAGGAGGAATTGTCATTATTTCTTAATAAAGAAGCAGCTCTGAAAGCAGGAACTACCCAAAAATGTGAAGTATTACCGTAAACAGGTCAAATAAAACCGTCTGATACGTTACTGTAAATCAAACGTTAGTCAATCACAATATATAGCAGCTAGCAAAAAGCTAACAAGCTTTTCTCGTAAAAAAAAACAAACAAAAGGGCTGCTATAGAATTATTTGAAGTTAGGATCAGGTTCATCATTTTCATCATTATCAGGTAGTGGAGGGAAACTTCTCCCCGATTCAGTAAACAGGTAAAAGAAACCGTCTGATAAGTTACCGTAAATCAAACGTTAGCACATGACAATATATAGCAGCTAGCATAAACATAGCATAGCATAACAGCCGCCTTCTGCTTTGGCTCAGTTAGCCGCCATTTTGTAATCGTTTCCCAGCTGGAAAAGGAGGAATCGCCATCATTTTTTATTAAAGAAGTAGCTCTGAAAGCTGGAACTACCCTTAAATACCAAGAATTAGCCAAAAAACTTCACATTAACCCCTTAAGGAGCCTTCAGTTTTCTCCTTAAAGGCCTAAAACTCCACCAGCCTCAGCTGGACTTTGTGTTTCTCTGGACGTCAGACTGGTTGTGAACTAACTATTGAACTAACGGGAATATTTCTGTGCACGTTGTTTCCATTTTTGAGGCTCCAGAGGAGGAAAAATGACACAGAAACCGCTTCACATCTGGGTTTAAACTCTCTGTGTGTAACTTTGGCAAAAATAAACATTGCAAACATGAATATTTTACTGAGTTTTACCTCCAACCTCTCAGATGGGATCACTTCCCATTCAAAAAAGCTCCTTAAACACGTGCATACATCAATATATAATAAATAAACACCTGATGTGCATTTTTGTGTTTCAGAGTTAAACCTGGATATGATGCATTTATGAACTAGCAGAAAGCTGGGATATTTGGGCTTTATAGACTAGAGTGTTATGATTAAAGACTTAATCTTTAACAGCTCCTGACTCAGCCTAAATAAACTGTTTCTAGCTCCATCCAAGCTGTTCCACCTAAAAAATCTTTTGGCCACCGGCTGTTTAATTCAAACAGCTCATCAAACCATCTGTTTAGCTTCTGAACACATTTATGTCTTTATCAGAGCTCTCAGGACCTTTAAAAGTTCATTTATATCCACAGAAATGTGTCAGATTCAGCGTGTGCACTGAGAGAATCCAATATCCCAGCTTTCCACCAGCTCCTGAATGCACCACGTGCCCATTTACAGCTCATTTACACTTATTTCTTTAATATCTGCTAGAATAAAGCTCATTTTGGAGGGAAAAACAGCAGGAAATGTGAGTCAGAGTCTGAAAAGGAGACCAAACAAAATCTTAAAAATGTATTTAAAGTTCTTAAAAGGCCTTTGAGCTCATTTATTTCCACAGAAATGTGTCATATTCAGCGTGTGCACTGAGAGATTACAATATCCCAGCTTTCCACCAGCTCCTGAACGCACCACGTGCCCATTTACAGCCCATTTACACTTATTTCTTTAATATCTGCTAGATTAAAGCTCATTTTGGAGGGAAAAACAGCAAAGTGTAAAAAGAGGAAACCAAACAAAATCTTAAAAATGTCATTAAAGTTCTTAAAAGGCCTTTGAGCTCATTTATTTCCACAGAAATGTGTCAGATTCAGCGTGTGCACTGAGAGAATCCAAT